AAGCAAGGAAAGCCACTGTGGAAAACAGGACGGGGATTCCTCAAAAGACTAGGAATAAACGTATCATATGACCCAGGAATCCCACTCCTGGGCATCTATCCAGAAGGAACCCTACTTCAAAATGACACCTGCACCCCAATGTTCATAGCAGCACTATTTACAATAGCCAAGACATGGAAACAGCCTAAATGTCCATCAACAGATGACTGGATAAAGAAGATGTGGTATATTTATACAGTGGAATACTATTCAGCCACAAAAACTGACAACATAACGCCATTTGCAGCAACATGGATGTTCCTGGAGAATGTCATTCTAAGTGAAATAAGCCAGAAAGAGAAAGAAAAACACCATGAGATCACTCATATGTAGAATCTAAAAAGAAAAAAAAACATAAATACAAAACAGAAACAGACTCATAGACATAGAATACAAACTTGTGGTTGCCAAAGGGGTGGGGGGTGGGAAGGGACAGACTGGGAGTTTTAAAATGCAGAATAGATAAACAAGATTATACTGTATAGCACAGGGAAATATATACAATATCTTGTGGTAGCTCACAGCAAAAAAAAAAGTAACAATGAATGTATGTATGTTCATGTATGACTAAAAAATTGTGCTCTACACTGGAATTTGACACAACATTGTAAAATGACTATTACTCAAAAAAATGTTAAAAAATGAAATTTTAAAGCTGAGTGAAAGAATATGAAAAGGTCTATATAAATGAAGATGTATGCCATGTTTCTCAATGGGGTTACTCAAAATTTTTTAAAAATGTCAAGTCTCATCCAATTATGCTCTAGATTCAATGCCATTCTAAAGTAAACACAGGATTAAAAATATGCATTATGAAATTATCTCATACAAAGAAAAAACAAAGAATATCATAATAAGGACCCATGTAATAACAGTCCAGCTTAACAGTAATACCAACATAGTTTTAAAAGAAGAGCGATATACTAAGAAAATGTAGCAATTAAAACATTACAGTAATGGCACAGGTATAAACACATGTACTGAAAGAATGAACAGATTTCAGACTCTTTAAATATATGAAAATGGAGTATGTAATAAAGGTGACATTCCAAATCACCAAAAAAAAAAAGTGGCTATTTAATAAACCATTTTTAGATAACTGATTAACATGAAAGAACAATTAGACCCTTGCCTCATGCCACATAAAGCAATCTTCCATACTTCATGGACCAAAGAGCTAAATGTAAAAACCTATATTATAAGCATAAGGGAAGACAGTGGGGTAGTAGGTAGCACCGTCATCTGCATCCCCACCACAACGGAACTGGCAGAATCTGTCTGATTTATCTCTTCTGGGACTCTGGAGTCCATTCAAGGCTTGCAACTTCTAGAGGAAAACTTAGAAGGTAAACTGCAGTTAATTTCGGTGTCAGGTCTTAGAACAGAAGCAGCTTACCCACCCCCATCCCCCTTCTAGCTGTGCTCTCAGTGTATTTCCCACACAGCTTATGGGAGCCAAGGTGGGCAAAAAGGACCCTATCCTCCAAATATTTCTGCTTCTGCTCAAAGAACAGGAGACATGGAGGTGGGCAGACACTGTTGACACACCTTTCCCAGTACTGCAACCCTCCCCACCTGACTGAAGTGACTTCCACGGGGTTTAAAAAGCCACCACACTTTCCTCTCCTCTCCGTCCGCCAATTTTTCATTTTTCCCTCTTTCCAGAACCAGACATTAAAGACTAGGCCATTCAAAACAACCGCATATAAAAGGAAGATTACCAAGTGATTGTGTATGACCAAGGAAAAGCTCAGAAAAGATCCGAGGAGACTTTAAGATTATATCTCATTCTCTCTTTTGTGTTGTTACAAATGTAAGCAAAACAGAATAAAACAAATTCACTTAAGCAGCCAGCCAACCAGCCAACTAGCTAGCATGCATGCACATTCTACAAGGTACTGGATTTGATCCTGAACATACGAATATCAAGGCCCCTAAAGGACTGCGAATGTGGTGGGTGAGACTGTAGCACAGTTACTCACTAAGCAAGAAGTTCCACCCGGCCACAGTGACATGAGCTAGGAGAGCTGGTGGAAGTGCAGATGAGGTTATCAGCCAAGTCAGAGTGAGCTGGGGAAGATTTTAGAGTTGACACTGGATCAAGGCATCTTAGATGAAAACTGGGGGGGGGGGGGGGCAGAATTTTAGCAGAGATAACACAATGTGCATAGAAAGTGGCGCATACCGAGAAGTCAGCCAAGATCACTTCTATCCATGTGACTTTGGGCAAAAAACTGAAGCTATTTCAACTGAAAGATGAGGATTAACAGTATCTTCCTCAGAGCTGCTAAAATGAGGCAGCACGTCGAGAAGGACGTGGGGTCAGCGGGCTACGACACCTTCCACCCACTTATCTCCAAAGCTGACTAAGATGACCTCCCTCGGGTTGCTGTCCCCTCCCCTCTCACGGCTCCTTGAGAAGCTAGTGCGCTCAGGAGAAGAGCACGGCCTTCTCACTCACACGCACTGGCCTGGCACAGCCCTTCACACACAGTATTTACTCAAAAAACATTAAGCTTCTTTTTTTCTTTTACTAACCAGATGTTTATAATTCCACTGACACTCCTTAGAGCTGCCCTCCAATCACTGCTGGGGTCCTGGTTCTCAGCCTGAGGACGAGCGGCATGTTTAATAAGCAACCCACCCAATCTGTGCATGCACTACATTACTCCATACTCACAGGCTGAGGCTGCTCTGCAATACAGCAGTTGAAACACAACCAGAATTCACTCATGCTTTAGTCCAGGTTACAGACGAGCACCAATGACGTTTCCAAAGCTCAGCTCAGGAAGCTTCACAAAGCTCACTTCTCAATATGATGAATGTCCAGTGATGCCAAAATAATGACTTAATTACTTCTCTGTGTTTTTGTTCCTGGAGATCAAGTATTTTCTATAGCCAGTCTAAAAATAAAATGGTCGGATTGTTTCCTTTCTTTGCTTCTGAACCACCAGGAAAGGTATAAAAATTGCTGTCTGGACTAGGCGCCTGTAACAGGTAGTCTAGAAAAAAAAGAAAACAAGTTACTTTACTTATCCTTAGAAGTTTCATTTCTTAAATCTGTAATAGGATTATTTCCCCCCAAAATTAGACACTAAAAAAAAACTGAGGTTTTAATAAGCTGATATTCATTCAACAAAAAAATATTTGTGTACTTTTGAGGGTCAGGTATTAGGAATACAGCAGTTGAAAGTAGACAATAATCCTTGCCTTCACAGAGTATTCTATTTTACGTCTATCAAAGCTTTCTCCAAAGCCATGAACTGTAAACCTGGTAAGACATAAATAAGTTATTTTGATACTTGTATGTAAGATCTTCAGTGAAGATTAACACACATATGCTCAACGTTACAAATGCGGGTAGTAATAAAGCATGAATTTAAGACACTGATTACACACAGTCCAGAGGACATGTCCTGTAACATACTACAGGAAAATGACAAACTAAGATCTAAGCATATGTTCAAGAAGGAAAATCAGAAAGAAGAAAATGTACATTGTTGCCACAGTAAAAATTCAGAACCTACAATGCTTATTTTCAAGAAGGGATGAACGTTCCTCATCTCACCCAAACCCCAGAACAAGGAAGTAGCTGTCTTGCAACTTGGTTTGTCCACTGAAATTAGGAAAATACTATGAAGGTTTATAAGCTCAGAAGAATAGTGTTTCATTTATTTCCTTCTTAGAAAGAATATAAAAGCAAGGGGTTAAATCCACAACATCATGAGCATTATTTCAGTGCTATGCTATTTATTTAACAAGCTTAATGCCACCCTGAATCAAAGAACTTGGCCATTAAAAAATCATCGTGAAGTGAAATCTCTTTTAACCAATTCTATGAAAACAAATACCCCTTTGTCTGAAGCTGAAAATTCTTTATGCTCATCACTGCTGTTTGTACCACATACAAACATGGAGCTGCCCTAATGTTTCAAATCTACTGGACTTAAAATTTGATGCTGTAAAATCTATTATTTGATTTATTCCATCATCACACTTTCTCATCTACATATAAAGCTAGGCAATTTTCTTTTTACTTATATATTCCCTTCACCAGAAACCACTTTCAAATTCTAATTTTACACTGGGAAGTATTTTATTTTCTTCTTTTAACTGAATAAATGTTCCTTCTGTTGAATACTTAAAATTAATAAATGGCTTCTACATTTACAATCCACAATTTCCCAAATTCAAATTTCCTTCCCATTTAAAGTTAAGCTGTTCCTTATTTTGTGAATTTTAAAATATATATTTTCCCACTCCCATGTACTACGTTGAAAATGACATTCACAGTATTTCCTACTTCTTAATGTTTAGTTGAAGAATGACTTCAGCAGACAGAAAGGATACTTCAGTATATCCACCTAGTTAACAGATCTGATGAAATGTATTTTCAAACCAAGGGTATGTTTGCAACTCCACAAGTTTTTATTTGCTGAGTAAACATTTAAGTCTAAAAATGTTTCAGACATGCCTTGGAATATCATTACCAGTACACTTTTTCCATCATCTTGCTTTTCTAAACTAAATTCCTTTTTAGAACTTTTTTTTCAAAAATGTATATACTTAAGACACATTTATACATAAACACCTTTAGAGAAGTACTGAATTTGTCACAAAAATTTCAACACTGCCACTAATAATAAATACACTAATAGTTACTTTCACTTCTTGAGCTGAAGGTTGCTTAAACTATGTCCATTTTGAAAACCTTACTTTTCTTAAAATCTTAAGATAACAGAAGTGGTGTCACTTTGCAACAACATCAACAACTAAACTTGGCTTTAAACACAACTCAGCACATTCCACACATAAATAAGGGGTCAAACTGGACCAGAGAGCATTTCACAAACTCATAGTTTCACAAGACATAAGATTTTAGAAAAGCTTAAGTGAATTGTCAGGCCACTTAGTGACTGGCAGAGCTTCCTTGCATTAAAAGCTCAGTCTCCTGACTTTTAAAGACACTAGCATGAGTGAAAAGTGTGGTAGTACTATTCTCCGGTCAAAAATGTAACCATCTCAGCCTCCTCTCCTTGTCACTTTCCACACCTAAATCAAATGCTGCAGATACTAACTTTATACCTCTGTGAACAGTTTTGCTGCTGACAATTTAAAGAATTTACATTTCAACATCCTCCCCACAATTTAGTAAAATTGCTTTTTTAGGTATGCTTCCAAAGAAACAACAATAAAGCCAAGATTTGAAAAGCAAGATAATGAGCAAACTTTAGCCAAGTTCTTTCTTTCTTTAACGTGGAATACTTGAACTCAGTTGAGGTATTGAGCATGCTTAGTTTGTGTGAAACAATCTAACGTTTAGAATTTAGACTTTGAAATAAAACATATGCGGTAGTTGTTAATACTATAGTAATTTTAGAAATGTTAGCTTGGGGAAGTGACAAGCTCTATCATTACTTACAGAAATGGAATGCTGCACTGCCAGTATCATAGGTCTGAAATAAGAACTAAATTAAATGATGTACACAAGGGCACTGTACATATTATAAAAAGCTACAGTGATATAAGATGCTCTTATTTATTATCAAAATAAAATAGCAAATAGCAGAAGGAAGTAGCAAAAAAACAAGTAATCTGTAACAGCTGTAAATTTTTAGAAAACCTAGATTCTATTCAGAAAGATGAATAAAATGAAAAAAAAAATTCTGGTCCATTCATACAAAAAAATACTATTCAAAATGAAAATGAATGGTAGCTTCATCCAACACACTGACGTGTTACTGAGGAAACGAAGCAAGGCACAAAACAATACACACGGGATGACATCATCTACATGAATTTCAAAAACCACTTCAACCAAACTTTTGTTTAGAGATGCATAAAGAGGTATAAAAGTAAAGCAAGAAAAGCATAATAAAAGTCAGGAAAGTGGTGATTACCTCTAGAGCTAAGGGCAGAGACTGAGAATTCGAAGCAACGCAACAAGGGCTCTTAGAATGCTGACAATACTCCACCTCTTCACCTGGGTGGTAGTTACACAGGGACTTGCTTGAAAAATTTTGTATTAACTAGTATGTTTATGGTCTATGCAATTTTCTACATATCATATCTTTAAATAATAACAATTTAAATGAAATGAAAGTAGAAGAGCAAATACTAATTTCTAATGGTCCGTAATAGAGTGATGAAAATTAGGAATGGAAATACAAGACATAAAATCAAATAAAAACAAACATCCTTGCTAGATACTTTGGAGGACTTGGTAAAATTTGTGAGGTTTGGGTGGGGAGAGGGATGATGACGTCGAAAGTTCTATGAGCTGCCAAAGAGCTTTCCACCAGAAATGCAAAAATTACTAATCAATGACTAAGCATGAATTCTCAATAAAGCTTATTCATAGCTGCACTAGCACAAAATCTGTCCCAATCTAGTTAAAATGATTCTTTGATACTGATTTATGGTACAGGATCCTTTTGGGGAAAAAAAAATAGCCCATTCAAAAAAGAACTTTCAAACTACGTGCTTACTACAGACTTACTTTTCTGTGGCTAATCAAAGTTCAATCAAACCATTGTTCCCTGAACTCAGTTATAAAAGACACATTAACTATTAAAATAAGAGGGTTGATTTTTTTCCCCCTATATTTGAAATGACTGAGTATAGGTCAGTCTTTCTTATCGTTTCACATAAATGTAGTCACACACACTCTTAAAAAAAATGTCTGGTTGCTTTCATCGAGCTTGTTTTTGAGATTTACCTATGTTAATCCATACAGATTTCCACTGCACATACATAGCACAATTTAACTACTCATATGTTAAGTATTACTGTGATTCTAGCTTTTTTTAGCTATTAAAAACAATGGTGCTCTGTATTAGTGTATACAACTGTTTGTGTAAAAATAAATTTTCACTTATCTGGAGTCAATATTTAGGAACAGAATTGCTGACTCATACTTTAAATATAATTTTAATTTTGTAAGAAACTGTTTACCAGTTTTCCAAATCAACTGTATTATTCTGCATTTGTGCCAGCAATGTATGAGTTCTAGCTGTTCCACATCCTACCAATACTCTGTACATCAGTCTTTATAATTTTAATCATTCTAGTAGGTATGAAATACTATCTTCCTGTGGTTTTAATTTGCACTTTCCTAATAACTAATGATACTCAGTCTTTTTATGCAAGCCATTCATGTTATCTTCCATGGTTAGGTACTCTCAGATCTCCTGCCCATGTTTGAATTTAATTGTCTTCTTCAGATGTATTCTTTTACATATTCTAGATAAAGTCCTTTGTCTGATATGCGTATTCTGAATATTTTTTCCTGGTCTTTGTCTTTCTTTCCTTTTTCTTTTTTTTTTTTAACAGTATCTTTCAAAGACTTCAAGTTTTTTAATTTGATGAAGTCTATTTCATCTTTTATGATTTGTGTTTTGTTCTCTATTAAATTTTTGCATATCCCTCAAATATGACTTTTTTCCTATTATTTTCTTCTAGAATTTTCAGTTTTTACTTTTCCAGTGATTTTTGGTGGTACACAGTAAAAGTCAAAGATTCCGTTTTTGACATGGAGATGCTGTTTGCTGTTCCAGCTCATCTGCTGAAGGTGATATCCCCTTGCCGATTGGCTTGGCTTGGCACTTTTTATTAAAAACTCCAGTAACTGTGTAAGTTCCAGTCCATTTCTGGGCTGAATATTAAACTGGTCTGTTTGTTGATCCTATACCTATGCCAGTGACAGACTGTCTTGACACTACAGTTTTACATTAAGACTTTAAGTCAGGGAGTCATTATTTTACAAGATTGCTTTGGATTGTCTAGATGCTCTGCCTTTCCATATATACTTGAGAATCAGTTTGTCCATGTCTATAAAAGAGTCTCCTCCAAATCTGACTGGGATTGCATTTATTTTAACAATTATTTGGAGGAGCTTTACATTTTAACAATATTTAGTATCTAATTCATTAACGTGGCATATCCAATAGTTTAAAGTTTTTAGTATACAGGTTTTCCATGTATTTTGTTGCATCATTTTTTC